TTTATCCCTGTCTTCAGAGCTATCACTAACTTGAGCCTCCTTTTATATGCTTTTTCTTTCAACTTTATAATGTCCTCAGTTAGTCATGGTTCATTTATCACTTTCTTAGATACTTTCCTTGTCACTGGGATATATTTTTGGTGAGAGTCATGGATTACCTCCTTTTAAATGTTGGTCTTTGCTTGCTTACTCTCATTCCTGCTAATCCATGTGGACAATCCACTTTAACTAACTATCTTCATTTCATTGTAATTCCCTTTATTTAAGTTAAACACTGTTTCTGAGGTTGTTGACTTGCTCGCCGAGCTGACTTGTTTTTGTTCAGATGTTAGGGCACCATGCTAGGTGACGTCATCAGTGAGGCCTCCAATGACGCAATGTTGTTCTACTCTGCTTGGAATTTATACTTTCTAGTCTGTTATGGTGAGTAGTGTCATTTCCGGTTTTGATCTGTATACATAATGGACCAGACAGTGTAAATTCCAAGTGGCGTAGAACAACATCGTTTCATCAGAAGCCTCATGATGATGTTACCTAGCACAGTGACGAAACGTCTGAACGAAAACAAGCCAGCTCAGCAAACAAGTCAACAACCTCACCCACAACCTGAGCTACAAACCTTTGCTAAAACTTTAAACTGTTGTTTCTGACCCACATTCCTCACACTCGGCCTGGTAAAATTTAATATTCTGTTTCTGATCACTATTTCCTGGGGGATCTTTTACTGAGGTTATTTATTGAACCTGCTTCATTGCCATTAACAGATCCAAGTTAGCGTGCTCCCTGGTTTATTGCTGGACATATTGCTGTTGGAAACTGTCCCTAATGCACTCTATGAATTCGTTGTCATACCTACCCTTTCCAAATTGATTGACCTAATCATGAAGATTAAAGCCACCTGTTCTTTTTACGTACTCTATTATTTGTTGATATATGTCCTTTTCTATAGTGTGGCTACTGTTTGGGAGTCTATACCCTACTCTTTTCCCTTGCTGTTATTTACCTCCACTCAAATGGACTCTACATCATTCAAGCCTAGGTAATCTCTCAACTGTCCTCAATTCATCTGTTATTAACGTGCTCCCCATCACCTTTTCCGTCTGTCTGAAAGGTCAGATATCCCTAAATGTTAAGTTCCCAGTTCTGATCTCCTTGTAACCATGTCGCTGAAATGGCTATGAGATCATGTCCATTTAGGTCAATTTGAACTGTCAGTTCACCTACCTTTTTTTCTGAATGTATCTGAAGGCACAAAGCAAAGCTTGCATTTTTGCCATTTTAATCATTCTAACTGTACTTAGTACTGTGGCCCCATTTGCCTCTTGCCCTTGATTTCCCTGTCTGCATTTTTGCATTTTGCTATTTCTCTTTTATTACCATCCTTCATTCTCTTTACCTTGTCACCTTCCTTCAGTTCCCACTCCCCTCTGCAATTCCAGCTTTAATCTGCCCTGATCACACTAGCAAATACTTGCTCTAGGGTATCAGAATTGGTCCTGCCCAAGCATACCCTGTCCAGTTTGTACTGGTCCCACTCCCCCATAACCTGTCTCAGTGCCCCAGGAATCTGAAGCCCTCCCTGATGTACCATCTTTCCAGCCACTGATATATTCAACTGATATATCCTGCTATTTCTGCTCTGACTAATAAGGAGCACTGTAGTAATCCTGAGACCACTACCTTTTGTGGCGCTGCTTTTCAGCTTGTTTCCTAACTCTCCCATTTGGGATCTCATCCTATGTCATTGATGTAAGTGTGCACCATAACCACTGGCTGTTCATTCTCCCACTCCAAAATATTCTGTAGCCACTCCGGGACATCCTTGACCCTACTTCCAGCGATACAACATACCATTCTGGAGTCTCATTTGCAGCTACAGAAATAGTCCCCTTGCAATTGAATCCCCTATAACTTTGCTTTCCTACGCTTTGTACCACAGTTGACTCTGCTACATGGGACAGGAACACAATGAATTTGACTGTTACTGGTTTCTCTGAGAGGTCATTACCCCCAACAGTCTCCAAAATGATATATCTGTGCGTAGGGTTTAGCCACGGAGTGTTGCTGCACTGTGCTTAGTCCTCTTACACTGCCTGGTAGCCACTCGTTCCCTTCTGCCTGTGGCGTCTTTGCCTGCGGTATGACCTCCTCTCTCTACATGCTGTCCATGATTCTCCCCCAGCTTCACAGATGCTCCATGATGTTCCCACCTGTCGCTCCAGCTCCAAACCCTGAGGTTCCAGGAGCTGCAGCTGGAGACACTTTCTGCTCAAATGCTGGTCCTGGGGACTGGAGGTGTGCCCGGGTTCCCACGTAGACCAGAAGGAGCAAACTCCGGCTTTGAGCTTTCCTGCTGTCCCCTCTGGATAAAACCTTTAAAGGGCTCTTAAAATCTAATAATATTGATTGCTTTTAGGACCTTCCTTCCCTAGCCCTTACAAATTGTAAACCACAAAAAATACTTTACAAACTATAAGCAGTAATAGTTGTACAAATACTTATTGCCTGCACTCACCCAATCAGTAGCTTTCTCTGGTCCTGTGTCATTTTTTAATCTTGGCTCTCCTCAGGAGCTCTGCTTCTGGATTGAGTGAAGATAGTGTTGGGCTACTCCTTTGAAAGTTTTCCTGCTGCTTGGCTCAGCTACTCCTTGCCAGATTCCTATGCTGTCTGACCTCCATTGCACCTCCTCCTTAGGTTGCTCTTTCCCCTTGTGACCCTAAGATCTTACTTTGACATTAAAGAGCAGACATACCAGTAAAAGAAAAGGAGGGATTGATCACCACCTCCTCCTCACATCTAATTCTTGTTTCAGCAATCCCAGTTTCACTCTAATGCAACAAGGCAGTACTGAACAACTAGCAGATACATTTGAAGAGAAGCTAGACGAGCACGAGGAAGAAGGGACTAGAGTGCAGTAATGGTAGATTTTTGAGGAAAGGTGGGAGGAGATCCGAGTGGAATATAAACACAGGCATAAATTGTTTGGGTCAAATGGTCAGTTTCTATGCCATAAAACTGTTTTCCCTAAAACTGATGTGAGCCCAACTGTCTTGTTTCCTTTTTTCAATTTCGCTCTTTTTCTTGAATTACAGGGTTGTTTTTGCTACTTCCAAATTACTGGGATCATTCCAGAATCTACAAAATGTGGCAAAATCATGACTAGGACTGCACTTTCTTTAAAGCTATTTCTTATTGAAAAATATAGACCATCGGATCCTGTGGAGTTGTCAAATTTTAATCTCAAGCTTCTCCAATACATTTTCTGATACTAATTACCTGAATTGCCTCACTCTTATTAGCCTTTTTATTGCCCTCTAGTTTTGGTATATAATTTAGCTTTTCTACAGTGAATACAAACTCAAAAATCTTCTTGTTTTGATTCTCAAAAGTTCTCCTATGTTTGCCAATAAAAGACCGACATTTCCTTTGCTTTTCTACTCCGGCTACTCTATTTTTTGTAATATTATAATGGGATCTTGTCTATATTCCAGGAACAATCTACGTTTATATTGCTGGCTAGTTTGCTTATTCTATTTTTTTTCACCCAAAAGGCTAAAGACATTTTGGGGCTAGATGCTACACTATTGTTTATTTACAGCTCTAGTTACCCATTCTTTTTCATTTCTTCATGACATGTTATCCATTTATCATCCATTGCTAACTCCCATTGGAAAGGTGGTGGCAAGATGCCTCATATTAGACATAAGAGATAACAAGGTGTAGAGCTGGATGAACACAGCAGACCAAGCAGCATCAGAGGAGCAGGAAAGCTGACGTTTTGGGCCTAGACCCTTCTTCAGAAAATATTAGACAGTTCAACTCAGGAAAAGTACATTGGTCTTGGAGATTGTTACAGTTTCACAAGGTATTGCAGGCAAAAGGGTTCATTTAGACAAGGCTTGTATTTCTTTTGAATAGTGGTGATCTAATCAATGTGTTGAGGATGTTTAAAGAATTTGGAAGTTGAAAAGGAAAAAAAGTATAGATCCTCTGGAGAGGGAGTCCAGGGCAAGGGGACTTAACTTTAAATTTAGAGCCAGACTCTTCAAGGGTCTTCACCATTGGGTAGTGGAAATCTGAAACTGTCCCCTAAAAAATGCTGCTAAGGCTGAGGGTCCGTAATGTGAAATATTAAACCTGAAATGAATAACTGTAGAGTAATTATATTAAGGATTCAGGAGCAAAAGTTTGATGCAGCCAACCATGATTTGATTGAACAGGCTTGAAGTGCTGAATGGCCTCCTGCATTCCTAAAACACATTCTACCTCTAGGCAAAGAAGATTTCCTTCTGTTTTACCACCTTTTCCAAAGTCCTGGCTCTGGACAAATACCTGAACTATCTTGTGAAGGTTTTATTTATGGCATTGTGTCTCCATCTCTTGTAGAACAGTTATTGTTGCTTGTACTTTAACAAAATTTTAATTGTGGCACAGCATGAGGAATTTTAAGTGTCTCATTTGGAGCCTGCTGGCTATCTTACAGCAACAATGAGTGACTGTGTTTATTACTGGACATATACACTAGATTGAGTTAAAATGTCACTGGTTTCAAATTGTTTTCTTTAAATTTGGAATTAAAAGCTGGTCTCAATAAAAATGACCATGAAGCTGTTTTTTATAAAAACCCAATTTGTCCACTGACGATGTTGGCTCTTTCATTTCATCTAAAATGGCTCAGTGACCCATTAAGTGAAATCAATGTAATCAGCAGTGGGTCAAGATGACGGTTTACCTTATTTTTTAAAAATGTCCACTATATCTTGTGAAGTCTTTCCCCTAGACTGCGTTTCCTAACAAACTGCCTCTGTCCTCGTGTACAGTTCATTAGGAGAATAGACAGCGCTGTTCTATTTCTTGCCCAGATAGTGTTTCTTTCTGTCTTGATCTGAAATGCCAGCTGATGAGGGTCTGTGCTTCAACAATGCCTGAGATCAGATTTGTTCTAGACTGTGAAATTATTACTGTTTAGTTAACAAATGTTTAATTTTGCTTTGCAGATGAATGGTTGCTGATTTTTGGAGACCCAACAAAGTTTGGCCTTGGATTGTTCTCTGTTTTATTTGATATTTTCTTCATGATACAGCATTATTGTTTGTACAGACAGAAGTCTGACTACAGCCTAATGGACACATAATTAATATTTCTGCACAACACATCAAAACTCTGAAAACTATTCATGGGGAATTTCTAACAAGCACATCATGCAAGATTATCAAAAGCAGTTGTGCTTGAAACAACAGTAACTGCGTCATTCAGTACAACCAAGGTTCTTAAAATTGAAGGCATGGAATATCGTGTTCCAAACGCACACATTGAAGACTTCCACTGTTACAAAGCTTCAGTTTTTCCACTGGAAGCGGTTGCTTTTCATTCCAACAATCTTTCTACTGCATCACTCCCAGGTCTAGTCCAGGATTCATCACCGATTCAAGAAAGGCCAAATCCCCATCCTCGGTTGACCCATGATAGGAAACACCTGCAACCTTGTCCATAGCGGGAGGTCTGCAAATGATTAAAAATTTGTCCTAAGTCCATAAAATGTGGGAGAACATTTTTTAAATATAAATGTAATCTGTTTAGAGAATAAGTAAGCCCTCTCTGGAGGCTCTAATGATAGGTTATCAATCTGAAACATGAAGTCTGTTTTTCTCTCAATAGATGCTGTCTCATCTGAAAATTTCCAGTATTTTTATTTTGTTTATATTTATTGGAGGGACTCTTCCCCCTCTTCACCGTCCCCTCAACTTGTGATGTTAATGGGGATGGCCAGAAGGCATCTAGGGTTAGAATGTGTTGATTTCTCATTCATGGGATCATCAAATTGTTACAGCACAAGGCCATTCAACCTGAGCCCTACTTTTCTCCCATCGCCCTGTATTTTTCCCCTTTTCAGTTAATTATCCAATTTCCTTATAAAAGCCTCAATTGGCCCTGCCTCCACCCGGTGCATAGGCATGGCCTTCAAGATCCCATTCAGTTACTGCGAGAGAAACAATTCCTAATGGCCCCTTTCGTTTTGCCAATTACCTTAACTCTGGACCCTCTGGTGCTTATATTAAAATAAAATAAAGAGCTGCAGATGCTAGAGATCAGAAATAAACAAAAACAAACTGTTGGAAAAACTCGGTAGGTCTGGCAGCATCTGTGGAGAGAAAGCCAGAGTTAGTGTTTTGAGTCCGGTGACCCTACCACAGAACTGATAGCTAGCGAAAGGTAGTCCTCAACATAGAATTTAACAATTTCAGTGCAAGAATACCCCTTGTCTGATATCTACCCCTACAACCCCAGGTTCTGTCATGAAATGTGTTGCTTTCAGCACCGCCAACCCATTTTCACTTACTCATAGCCCCCCCCACCCCCGTTATCACCTATCTAGTTTCTTCCCTGGCTTACTAACAATCCCTTTGCTTAACTTCTTTTGTCTCTTTCAGGCTCCCTTTCTGCATAATGCTTTTCACACACACTCCGCTCCCCTCCCCACTTTCCCATCATCAGCATAAATATTACCTTTTCCTAGTTGCTATTCTTCTGAAGAAAGGTCACTGGACTTGAGGCGTTAATTCCGTTTTCTCTTCACAGGTGCTGCCAGACCTGCTGAGTTTCTGCAGCCATTTCTGCGTTTTGTATTGTGTATAGCTCTGTCAAATCTCCTCTCCACCTTTCCTTTACTGAGAATAGTCGAGATTCTCCAACTCCAAGTAACAGGGCATGCAACACAGCATCCTGGATTGAAATCTCTGGCTAGAGAAATGCTCGAGTATTTGCCTATTGAACCTCCTGTCCCTGTTGTTTCAGGCTTTGTGCACTCCACCCACCCCCACTACACGCCACACCAACTATGGTGTCATAAATTCAAAACAATCAACTTAGTTGCATACTAAACAGTTGTGCTAGGAAAGGATGATAAAGCCTTAGCAAAGATTCATTTTATTGCAATATTTCCTGATAGTTAGTGATATCTGCTGGGAGCAGAATTGAAATAACATACAACTTTGTCAAATCACTCCACAAATATGCATTCCAAACTTGTCAGAAATGCCGGGAGTTGTCTTTGGGAGCCAACTGCACTTGACCAGTTAGACAGTTCTACTGCTTGGAGACCATTTAAGTTGGTGATAATTGTGAGTACATGCCCAATTTTAAAGTGCAACCCCTCCTCAACTGAGTCATTGTTCAGGCAACTCTTGTGGAATTGCTAATGCTTTGGTTCGAACTTGGTGCTAGAGATTTGAGTTTACCCCTTTCTTATGGGTATGGGGCAGGATTTGGTCTGGTCCTACTTTTAATAAACTTTACCTTGTGAGCAATCCTGCATCGTCTCCGCTGTTTGGTCTGAGTTTGATGTAGTTGGGTATTCTATTAGATCTACAACTTCAATGGAAATTGTTTTGTATCCACTGCTGATTCAGTAAAGCTTCTAACTTTTGTACTTGTAACCTGTATATTCAAAATATAAACTTTGTCAAATTAAAAATATTAATTTTTCCTTAATTTGACTTGGTTTTTGTCTGCTGCTTAGATTCGTGAAGACTTTCTCAAGGCCATTCCTCTGTTCAATGCTACATCAACTCCTTTGGGATTGTAAATCTCCCAATATAGTCAGCCCAGCTCCAATCTCCTTCAGTCAGAAACCTGGCATGTAGGTCAGCCAACCTGTGTTGTCCGATCTGAGTGCTAAAGTAGGCTTGTGAATTAAGGCTCATCAGAGTTAGGAGAGATCCAAAGCTCCAAGTCATTGAGTGTATTTAAAACCGAGATGGATATGTTTTTTGATTGGTAAGGGGATCACGATTTACCCTTAGTCAAGAAGGCAGGAACCCCATATCAGCCATGATCAAATGGTGGAGCGGAGCCTTTATTGATCTGAATGGCCTAATTCTGCTCCTGTATCTTATGGTCGTCACCTGGTGGGACCAGGAAATTCTCCTCTATGCCGCATGGAAAGTGTTGATCTCCAAAGTTAAGTTCTTTAGCAGCTGGTGGTCACTCGGTTTCCTTTTGAGGAGGGGTGCAGTGAGCAAGCAGTGTTTAAAGAAAATGTGGATGTCAGAATGGCTGATAATATCCCATTTGGTGCAGTAAATTATCTAAGTTGTTTCTGCCTAGAACCTGCTCATTTACTTACCAATATCATGTGTTCATATGTATTCAGTGTCTCAGCTAATAAAGGCAAGTATCTCACAAATTGTCATAAGTAATTTTGTGAGGGTGGCACGGTGGCTCAGTGGGTAGCACTGCTGCCCCTCAGCACCAGGGCCCTGGGTTCGATTCCACCCTCAGGCGACTGTCTGTGTTTAGTTTGCATATTCTCCCCATGTCTTCGTGGGTTGCCTGCGGGTGCTCCGGTTTCCTCCCACAGTCTAAAGATGTGCAGGTTAGACAGATTGGCCATGCTAAATTGCCCGTAGAGCTCGGGGATGTGTAGCTTAGGTGGGTTATAAGGGGATAGGTCTGGGTGGGATGTTCCAAGAGTCGGTGTGGACTTGTTGGGCCGAAGGGCCTGTTTTCACACTGTAGGGATTCTATGATTCTATGAACTACCATCCTCACTTGGCCTTCAAGATTCTGTGAACATGCAAACCAAGGTCCTCCTGATCCTCTACCCAGGTCCTGCTATTCAATAATAAGGCCCTTGCCTTATTAGTCCTCCCAAAAATGTACTTCTCACAATTTTCAGAATTAAATTCTATTTACCATTGGCCTGCCTATCTGACCATTTTCTATATCCAGTAGCCCAAGGCTTCCTCCTCAATATTTGTCATACCAATTTTTGTCATTTTCAGACTTACTAATCAATCCTCTTGTATTAATGGTCTAAATTCAAATGTGGGCAACCAACAGTGAGGGACCCAGCACCGAACTTTGTGGTACACCACTGGACACCGGCTTGCATACCAAAAACAACTTTGACACATTACCCTCTGCTTCCTGCCATGAAGCCAGTTTTGAATCCAAGTTGCTATATTGCTTTGGATCCTATGGACATTTTGAGACATTCTCATACCCTCATCTTCACACCAAGTCATTTCTGCTATTTTTAGCCCTCAGTATCTACTGTAATAATCACTTTCTTTCATTCTCCAATCTACTTCCTTCTCTGACTTTCAGGATTCTCTGAAATTTTTGGTCCCATTATTCATCTTTCAGGAACATGTTGGTCCTGTACTTTCACTCTCCCCATTTTGAAAGACTCCACTGCTCTGATGTAGATACAAGTAGCTGCCCCCACTTCACTTAACCCAGCTCATGCCTTAAATTAAAATTAGTCTTTTCCCCCAAACCAGAATCTGTATTTCTGGACCATCTTTGTCCTTCTCCAAAAATACCTCAAACCTTTTGAGCCCATTTGTTCACCAATTCCCTCTCTCCCTTTACCCCACCTTCACACCTACCTACCAAGGACACCCTTTAAAACCTACAATTCTCACAGCTCTCACTGTGAAGTCAATTCTTTCCTTCTAAAACAGTTGATACAACAGGGAACTCCCATGAGGAAACATTCCTGCCTGAGGAATGTGCTATTGAACATACCTCAGAATCTAGCCACACCAACAGGCTTCAGCAGGAGACAAACTTTGAAATTTTGCATTCTCCTGGGCTTATGCCCCTGCCTTTTCTATTCTAGTGTGAGATGTGGGTACCAATGTTGGGGCTAGCATCTGTTGCCCATCTTAACTGTACTTGAACTGATTGTCTCTCTAGGCTCTTTCAGAGGACATTTAGGAGTCAACCATATTTTGTTGGATCAGGAATCACATTTAGCCAACAAGTTCCTCTCCCAACAGAAGGAAATTCCCTAAAAGGTATTAGAACATAGAACTGTACAGCACAGAAACAGGTCATTCGGCCCACGATGTGTGAACATCAGGCAAAATTAAACTAATCCCTTCTGCCTGCCCTTTGTCCATATTCCTCCATTCCTTGCATATTCATATGCTTATCTAAAAGTCTCTTAAACACCCCTATCCACTATCACTCCTGGCAGCACGTTCCACACTCCTACCACCCTGTGCAAACAAAAAACTTGCCCCTCACATCTCCTTTGAACTTTCACCCTCTCACCTTAAATGCATGCCCACTAGTTTTAAGACATTTCAACTCTGGGAAAAATATTCTGACCATCAACCCTATCTATCCATCTCATAATTTTAAAGACTGCTGCTCCAGAGAAAATGACCTGAGTTTTTCCAGCCTCTCCTTATAGCTCATACCCTCTAATCCAGGGAGCATCCTGGTAAACCTCTTCAGCATCTTCTCCAAAGCCTCCACATCCTTCCTGTAATGTGATGACCAGAACTGAATGCAATACTGTAAATGTGGCCTAACCAAAGTCTTATAAAGCTGCAACATGACATCCTGACTCTTGTACTCAATAAAGGCAAGCATTCCATTAACCTTCTTCACCATCCTTGCGTGGCCACTTTCAGGGGGCTATGGACCTGTACATCAATGCTGTTCAGCGTCCTGCCATTAACTGTACACTTTTCCTTAACAGTTGATCTCCCAAAGTGCAACACTGCACATGTACCTGAATTAAACTCCATCTGCCATTTCTCCGCCCATAACAGCAACTGATCTAGTCCCCATTGTATCCTTTGTCAACCTTCTACATCATCCACAACTCCACCCATCTTTGTATTGTCTGCAAACTTACTAACCCATCCATCTACATTTTCATCAGATCATCTATATATTTCACAAACAGTAGAGGTCCCAGTATGGATCCCTGCGGAATACCAATAGCCGTAGACCTCCAGCCAGGAAAACACCTTTCCACCACTACCCTCTGCCTTCTATGGGCAAGCCAATTCTGAATCCAAGCAGCCAAGTCACGATGGATCCCATGCATCTTATTCTTCTGGATGAGCCTACCATGAGGGACCTTGTTGAAAGCCTTACTAAAATCCATGTAGGCAACATCCACTGCTCTACACTCATCAATCACCTTCATCACCTCCTCAAAAAATTCAACTTAAGTCAGCCCTGCACAAAGCCATGTTGACTGTCCCTAATTAGGCCATGCTTTTCCAAATGTGCATAAATCCTATCCCTAAAAATTCTCTCCAATAGCTTCCCAACCACTGATGTAAGACACACTGGTCTATAGTTTCTTGAATTATCCCTATTTCCCTTCTTGAACAGAGGAACAACATTAGTTACTTACCAGTATTAGTAACCCATTTGTGATGGGTTTTTACAAGAATCAACAATGGTTACATTGTTGCCATTAGGGTAGCTTTTTATTCCAGATTTTTTTGATTGGCACCTCATTGTAATGAAATGTGCCTTTAAGAAGGATTTGTTCTGTTCTGTTTCTGTTGAAGAGGGGTGTTGTAAACCTTGTACTGAGGTGTCTGTTCCATGAAAGCAGAGTAAATAGCTTTGGACATGAGTGGGTGGAGTCAGGATCACACACACCCATGGTTTTAGCTTTTGCTTCCAGTTGTTGAAGTTGGAGCTGACTGTCGAAACTGCTAGACACAGTTCTCTTCGTCACAGCTAAAAGTTTGACTTCTTTCTCTACTGTTCTAATGAAAAGACAGCGTGTTCAATTGAGAGATAGTAGGAACTGCTGATGTTAGAGAATCTGAGATAACAAGGGGTAGAGCTGGATGAACACAGCAGGCCAGGCAGCATCAGAGGAGCAGGAAAGCTGACGTTTCGGGTCTGGACCCTTCTTCAGAAAATGTTCAATTGAAACTGTTTTGTTGAATTGCCTTTGACATGAGTGTGTTTATGGGATGCTGCAATATTGGAACAGTTGATAAGCAGTTGTTAAATGATATTATTTTGGTAAGTATTTCAATAGAGTTAAAGTTATGTCAATTCTTTGTTTTGTCTGTATTTTAACTGTGGTGTAAGAATAAAGCGTGTTTTGCTTAAAGCCTAGAAGTTTGACCAATCAAATCACATCTGGAACACAGTATCTTAGACCTGTCTGTAAATAATTAAAAATTAGCCTGTACCCTACCTGCTTGATAGGATTCGAGGATGTTTGGTCTGGTCCATAACATCATCCAATACCTTAAAGCTTTACTCTCTCCACCATCAATGCATAGTGGCAGCAGTCTCACATGACACTCTGCAGCAATTCACAAAGGCACCTTTGACAACCCCCTCCAAGTACAAATAAACAAGGAATTGATGTCTCCTCCCCCAGAACAATCTGCAAGTGCCTCACCAAGCCACTCACCATGCTGACCTACATAGGGGCATAAGGAGTTCAAAGGCAGGAGTAGGCCATTTGCCATCTCAAGTTTGCTCAACAATTCAATAAGATCTTGGCTGATTCGGTTTTGGCCTGTTCTAGTTTCCTGTCTGCACCGCGCCCCCCCACCCACCCCACCCTATGACCCTTAATTCCTTTATCACTCAACAATCTAACTCAGTCTTGAATAAATTCAATGACCGAGCTCCACTATTCGCTAAAGAAGTAAATGCCACAACTGAAGACCCTCCAAGAGACACAAATTCTTGTCACTGCCATCTGA